AGCCAGCCATGCTGGCTGGGGAATTCTGGGAGTTGAAGTCCACTCATCTTAAAGTGGCCAAGTTTGGACAACACTGACATAGATCCTCTATATACTGTAGGACCCCTGTGTGTCATTCATACATTAACCTCTGCTATAATATGACTTTTTAAATTCTTACTTAGTATAGTGTACATACCCAATCATTGGGTTTTATAGACAATGATTTATACATCATTATGTTGTACAAACACATCATTTGAGGTTTAGTCAACAAATCTTCTTGTTCTATCTGAGCCGAGACCCTGGGTGGAGAAGTAGATTGTAGAAGTATGGCAAAGACAATATAACCTTCATCATTAGGAATATGTGAGGTGGGTTATTATAACCAGGGGTAGGGGAAGAGGAGGGCATGGGGGGATTAAAAAGTCAAAATGGTGATTGTGAATGCTCCATTACAGCCATCACCTTGACTTTTTTTTAATCAGCCCAGCCCAGCCTCCTGCAGGTGCGTCTGGGTGGAGAATATGTTTAAAATCAAATGGAAGAATAATAAAAGGATACCTGCAGTGAGTTTTTCTCTAGTGACTAACAAAAACCAAAACCTTTTCCCCTTTCTCCAGTTGTTTTTGATTACACTCCCCTGATAACTTGGAAGGAATTTCAAGCATGCATGCCCTGGGAAATTGCCATCCTTGTTGGTGGTGGTTTTGCGCTGGCTGATGGCTGTGAGGTAATGCAGGCTTTTACCACTTCTTCAGTTCATAAGCTACAGTATAGCTAGCTGCAAGGGAAATGCAAAGAATGGCAATGATCTTCACTGATTTTGTTCATTGCCATCACTTATCTAACAGTAAAATGTCATCCCTGAAATTGTTTGCATTTATGCACGCTAACATTTATTGAAAACAGCAAGACGCGTTTCAGCTGTCTAAAGTAAAATATGCAAGAGCTATTCCCTGGAAAAGACTATCAGTTCCTCATGATTAGTGTATATCTTGTGGCCTGTGCTTTGACCTCCAGGCTGGCCCATGGTAATAGCTTATTGGTAGTATATTGTAGTATTTTCCCATTTCAGTCCTTAAAATGACTGTATATGTTCTACAGTCACCCAGTTTCATAAAATACAATGCTGGAAATTGTTTGGCTGTCTGATGTGCTTTTGGAATCACCATAGGCTAAACCTTCAGTGAGGTCCCTCAAATGAACATAATTTTTCTTCATATAGCAGGTAGTCCTCATTTAGTGACCACAATTGGGACTGGCAACTCAGTCGTTAAGTGAAATGAAACTGCAACCCTGCTTAGGATCTTACTTCAGTTTTCCTTTGCTCTACAGACCTGTGCAGGTTGTAAATGCAAGGATTGGTCGCAAAGTTAATTTTTCATCATCTTGGTAACTGCAAATGGTCACTAAACCAGGCAGTCACTAAATAAGGACTACCTGTATACTAATATAGTCAAAAGGTCATTGTTCTTTAATGTAACAGATCCATCCAAGGCTCTCCGAAGCTATGGAAGAGGATAAAAATACATCTCTGAATAATATACTGATTACATTTGAACAATACACCAAACCTATGAATCCACACTGTGTGTTTCCACATTTATATGAGCAGAAAAGCTCATTCATTTGCTCAGCTTCACTATTTCAGAAATACCCCAGTGTCTATTATGCAGTAGCCTGCTGATATAAAGTAATATGACAATAGTTTTTGAATACAAATTAAATTAACACAAATTGCAGTGAGATATCTTGGACTTGTGGACCATGGTTTGTGTATACAAACATAAACACAAAAATAAAACAGACCATAATTTATGGTACATGCAGTTTCCTTATAATCATGGTGCTGTTATCACACCCACCCTGCTTCTAACACTGGATGTTAATATCCTAAATCTGTTCTGATACACCAAAGTTACGATATCAGCAGGCAGTGTTGGAACCATATCCAGTGATCAAAACAGGTTCTGATATTGTTGAGAAGTCAAAAGAATTCCTTGTCAATCCAATATCCTGATTATGTTCTAATTACATCATTTCTTTATTTAAAAATTAGAATTTTTAATTCAAATCTCAAGAGGGATGCTGTTCCAGAGGGGAGCTACTGCAACAGAAAAAAAATTCTACAACATTTAGATAAATAGAGGCTTAAGCCATGTGCAATTGTCATAGAACTATTTGTTTAACTTAGATCTATTCTAAATATATATTAATGCTGGGAAAACATCGATAACTTTATTTTTCACGTGGGCTCATTATCACTTTCTGCACCATACATGACTGAGGTTAAAAAATGGAGGACTTAAACTTAAGCTGTTCTTTGTTTGAATCTAAGAGATGATCCAAAACATATTTACTCTGAAAAAATTCCCATTGATATGAGTCCTACAATTATTTGGTATTCTATCTGTAACCATAGGACTTGAGCAAATATTCACATGAGCACCTTGATGCTCAGCAACATATTTAAGGACCACCCACACACATAAAGAATCTCTGAAAGAAACCAGAGAGGGATGCAACGTGCCAGACCTGTCACTTAAGCAGCTGTGATTATCTGTACAAAATGTTACATACCATTTACGTGGCTAAAATACATCAACTCACTCAGGCTGAGCATTCTGTGTGGTATGAATATATTTTGCTAGAAGGAAAAGCAAATCATATCGTAGGGGCCTGGTCTCTTCTTCTGTTCAGTTCCTCCCATTTCCATATTGATCTTTTGGAATAAGAAGTGAAGAGATTTGGTTAATGTTGCATTTCCACAAAACGTTTAATTAAATTTATGGATCAGTAAGCAACTATTCCTTTTCCCAGGACTCAAAACTCTCAGCCTGGATTGGAAGCAAATTAACCCCTTTAGGATCACTACCCATATGGCTAATAATTCTCATTTCATCTTTGATCGTGACGACAGTAACTGAAGTAGCCAGCAATCCTGCTACAATCACTATATTTCTGCCTATCCTGGCCCCTTTGGTAAGCAACCTGATTTGGGTTTGAAACAGCTTATCTACAGTCATAGCAGTTAAAGATGCGTAAAAGGTTAGATTTTCTGTATTTTAAACAACAGGACTTTTGCAATCTGAATTAGTGGTGGTAAGTAGAGAATCAGGGAATAGTTAGTTATATAAGTTTACTTAATTCAAGACTATAAGAATATAGTGTTATGAATAAACCACAGAGTTTTTGTTTGTTTGTTTAGCTATAACAAGTTTGGAAAGAAAAGTAACCAATGTATATTCACTCTGTATCCTAAGCAAAATCATAATATGAAGCTTGAAGTTTTTGCTCCTATTGTGTTTACAGAGATGCATTTAGATCACATCCTAAAAGTGTATTTACATTACATACAGAGATATTTCTGTTCTTAGTATCTTTATGTAGTTTTGTCAAAATATATTTAAAGTTCTCATTCTAATTCCTATGACAGTCAATAGCCATGAGATTTTCTGGTTATCATCCACCCAATTACTAAAAAGCTCTGACTGTGCTTAGCTTTTTCAGGTCACCTAAGGTCAGCCACAGTAAATGCAGTCTCCTTATAGTCATGACTGAATTATTTTACAAAGTGGTAAAGAATGTACTTATATGAAATTTACTTAGATAAGGATAAGGAAGCATTCTATATTATGCAAATATGCAAATAAGTAGACCAAATTAAATTTCCACCATGGATGTTTTGATTAAGGATTCTTTAGCCTACAACAGTGGAGAAGTATCAATCTTCATATGTAGAAGCCCACAATATTCTGTTTAGGGTTGAGCAACATTATACAAAGTGCAGAAAAAAGTAAGAAGTTGTGAGATCTTTTATAGCTTTTACGTTCCAAATCACAGTCTTCCATATGGAAGATTAATATCCACAATATAAGCAATAATGATGATAAAGATTTGGTAATTATATATTTTGAGTGCTATGTATCATTTAAATTTTCATTTGATAATTACAGTAGTAATACTGTTCCTTGGATTTTAATCCTTTCCTGCAGCTTCCTCCAATTTTGTCCCTTCCAGATCTGCTGGACTACAGTTTCCACCACCCTTGCTAGCAGGTTCATGTTTGGAGATGATAGGAATTGTAGTTCAATACATCTAGAGGATACCAGTTTCATATCAGATTTATCCTTCAGTCAGCAAATATTAACCAATAATCTTGAATTTCTGTTGGTATTTCTCTGTCTAATAGGCTGAAGCCATCCATGTTAACCCACTTTATATCTTGATACCATCAACCCTCTGCACATCATTTGCATTCTTGCTACCAGTAGCAAATCCACCCAATGCCATTGTATTTTCTTATGGTCACCTGAAAGTTATTGATATGGTAAGTTAACAGTAAGAAAAGAACAATTTGTGAACCTCTTTTTTCAAACGTTGTTGTTGTTGATAGTACTGACCACACATGAGAAAGCATAATTACATCTACTATGTATGTTGATGGTGGTGGCATCAAAGAAGCTTTAATTCTCAAGAGGCCATTGCTGGACCCCCACATCCTTGACAATTATGATCCAGTTTCCAATCTTCCCTTTGTAGGAAGGTTGTGGAGAAAGTAGCTGGATGGCAGCTACAGAGGATCTTGGAGGAAATGGATTATCTTGACAGTTTCAGTCAAGTTTCAGACCAGGGTATAGCATGGAGACAGCACTGACCACACTTGTCTGTGACCTTTGGCGGAGACAGGGGGGGATGGTGCATCATCCTTGTGCTCTGTCATCTCTCAGCAGCTTTCGATGCAGTTGACCATGGTGAACTATTGCAATGCACCCTAGATGGGAATGTCCTTGAAGACCATCCAGAAGCTATAGGTGGTCCAAAATGCAGTGGGGTGAGCTGTAACAAGCAGTTCTTATTACACCTGTGTGTTATTGCTAGTACTTGAACTGTGTTGGCTACCAGCTGGCTTCCGGTTGCAATTCAAGATATTGAGTATAAGGTCCTTTCCATCTGCTCCAAATTAGACACCACAGTTAGTGCAGAACCTGTTGAGTTTATGGCAGTATTATCTAATCATAGTCTATGATTTAGTTATTGAAATCTGAGGAAGTAGACAAGACACCGTTCTCCAAACCACTAGTCATTGTGTCCGGTAAGCTCTAGTAGGTGGGAGTTATATAAATGAGTTGAATATATGATATCTAAGGACAGACTTTGAAAGAGATTGTGCTGTGACCTCTCTTGGAAAGACCTTCCCTGGAGCCTGAGGTTTTAGATAACTTCTACCCAGTTGCAAATATTCCTTTCTAGGGCCAGATAATAAAGAGGGCCAGTCATCTACAGATGTACTTAGGAAAAATCTAATCTTCTAGAACTATTTAGTGTGGTTTCAAGCTTGGAGAGAGCACTGAAATAGGTTTGGTTGCTCAGACTGATACTTTCAATCAGATGGATTGGAAGTGCTACTATGTTGACTAACATGAATTTTTCAGCAATATTTGAAAACACTGACCAAGGGGTTTTTCTGGAGAGGTTCAGTGGGTTGGAGCTTTGTGGCAGTTTGTTACAATGATTCTATTTCTATTCAACCACATGGTATATGTTGAGAAATCCATAGTGTTCCATTCCTCCTCCCCACATATTGTCTCTACATGAAGCCCCAGAAGAACTCATTCAAAGCAATGAAACACAGTATTATCAGTATGCCAGCAACAATCTGTCTTGGACCAGAACAGGCTGCCTTCTAAAGGCTTTAGTTCAAATCAAACTATTAGAATATACCACATTAGTTTTCATTTGGGGACCAACACCACACCTTACAGCAATGAAATCTAAAAATTAACAACAAATCTTTAGAAATTAGACTGAGGAAATAATGGGCAGTGAACTAATGACTGCTCTGATTCAAAAGTTAGTGCCTTCCATGCATATGTGATACATTTTAATCATTACTGTACCACTTATCTTAATTCTTTGGTTTGCAAGTTTGTTCTAGAAAAGTCAGTCTTCCTGTTAACTTTCCATTTGTTTTAAAAAATAACTTTTTCTTCTTTAGGTAAAAGCGGGCCTGGGTATAAATATCATTGGAGTTGCCATTGTGATGCTCGCCATCATGACATGGGCACAGCCCATGTTCAACCTCCATTCATATCCAGCTTGGGCACCCCTTCCTTCAGGTGCTAATATCACTGGACTTTAAAGGAAGAACAGCAGGTTCCTTTTCTTCTTCCTCCCAGCTATGGTGCTAATTGATAGATCTGTATGGTACAGTACAGCTGTGATTTAGGATAAGTTGCGCTTCATGGTTCCTTGTCCTGAGTACTGACTGATACAGCTGCCTGGAAAGCCACAAAGCAAGAATGTTATGATCTGAATAATGCAACAGAAAGTAAGCCTGTACAAATGATCGATCAGTTCTCCCAGTTAAGACTGTACTCATCAGAGTTAGAAAATGACATTTGTACATTATGCACATTCATTATGAATGATAATTTGTCCCTGTTCTTCGGGTCACAAAATTAAGTAGTATGAATGTAAGAATAATGGTAGAAGAAATATAGATGGAAAGACAGGTAGACAGACTAATGTATGACAAACAGATACTGTAGATGCTAGAAACCAGATGTTTTTAATTTATTAACTAGTAAGTCCCCCAGTCCCAACTTCTTCCAAGATGCTGGTACTTTATCTATTCATATGGAACATCTCACACCATCATACCATCAACTAACACTCCAGGTGAACTTTCCTCCCCTATAATGACATTTATTGGTTACAGGAAGATTTTTTTTCCAAACAAGTAATGAAAGTTTCAGAAATTCATGCTATGGATGTAATCATATGACAAAACACAGACATGGCAGCTAGGATGTTCTATATTGATAGATTCATGTTGTATCACATTATGGGCATTAGATGATATCACAGGGAAAAAAAACATTATTCTGAGGATGAAATTCCATAATATTTTTATTGACAGAAAAGTTCAGTAAATCATTATTGATTCTGATATAACCAATTGCTGGAAAAAATAAATGCATCCCAGCAAATTCTTAGTGCTTTATTTTTTGAACTGAAAATTTAAGCACCTTTTTCATTAATAAAAGTCACTCTCAAGTCAATCTTGATTCCTCATGACTACATGGACACATCCATGCAGTGCACAAGTTATTTGTCATTATCTTCTTCCAGAATCTTGTGCTTTTTTATCAGGCTAGAGCTCTGGGGTCTCTGGTGGTCTCCCATCCAATTACTAGCCAGTCATGACCCTGCTTATTAATTGTCCTTATATTCCAATTCCACTGTGTAGGTCCATTTTAATGAAAACAGATAATCATGGAAGAATTATAACAATTTCTTACCCTCTGATTATAATTCTGGTTAAAACTAGTTATGCTAGTTTTAGCATACTCCTATCAAAATTCACGGCATCTTTTTTTATATATAGACTTAACTTTATAGAAACATAACAATGCCAAATAGTATCTCTACAACTGTAAAAGAAAATTATATCGTATTCATCTTGCTGGAGACCTATTTCTTAGCCTGGGTACATGCTAAACATTCCAGAGACACTTCTCTTTAAGAGAAGATGGAATAGCATTTTAAATGTATTTATTTTGCACTTTTGTACTAAAACATATCTTTCTCTTATACTAAATGTGCTGTTGAATATTTATGTATCACCAATGTTAAACACTGTAGATAAAATATTCTGTGCAACTATCTCACAAGAGCATCATATAATAGTAATGTATTTATGTCATAAGCATAAATAGTAACTTTTTTTGAAATATAAACTTATTAGTGCAGAACAATGTATATCAACCTTGGCAGCCTGAAGATATGCACTTCAGTTTCCAGAATTCCCCAGCCAGAGGAAGTCCACACATCTTCAAGTTGCCAAGGTTGAGAAAAACTGGTACAGAAACTTAAAGTTAAGCATTGTCCAAGCTGATTCATTCTGATCTTAGAGTGAACTCTGATATCTTTGCATCACTCTGTGGCATGCATATTCAACACATAATTTGTTACAAGAAGTAACAATGTTTAGGGATGTGCAGGTTTCACAGTTGAGATGCTCCACTCTTTATCTGCAAATAAGAACTAGTTCTGATCAGTTTATGATTAAGGTGGTTGTGCCAACTCATGAGGTTACCAGTTTACTTCAGGAAATTTCTTCAAGGCTACTGTCTAGATAGATATGAGAACATGTCCTGCTATTGTCTGCATATTTTGCTTGTTTCCTATTTTCCCTATTCAGCTAAATACCTCCCATGTGACCCAGCCGTATCTCCAGATTTTACCATCCTGTTCCCTTTTTTATTCATATTAAGATGATATGTGGAGGCATAGAAAATGGTATTGCTGGGAAATGGAAAATGTTAGGTTTCCTAAAAAGAACCATGGGGCAAAAAGTGATATAGTACAGGAATCCAAAATGATATATTCCAATATGATGAACAGTTGGAGTCTTCAAGCAGATGAGAAACTTAATGAGTTAAATTACTCTCTCGGTAATCTATAGCCTGAGGATTTTATGCAGTTCTAGATTGCATAAAATCTATACAATCAACCTGCCGCTGACTGCATAACCAAAATTCAGTAATGAGCTGCCTGCATTTCACTTTTTATATAGAATTCAAAAACAAAAGCAGTGTGCCATGCCAGTGGACTTAATGCACATGTTTTCTTTAAAAAATAAAAGGGAGCAAGGGCAGGAAGATATTTTTGACCAAGGTTTCCTCAGTAATGCTATTTAATTATCATGATATGCAATGTAGGTCTTGCAGGCCCAAAACATTAAAAAAAAACAACAACACCAGAACTTCTACACTAAGAAAGATTGCCCATCCTTATGTACACATTGACCCCACTTCTTTAGAAGCAGAAGTCTGAATACTATGGTTACAGGTACACAAGCAGTGATTACTTGCATCCCTCAAGGCAAATTTAAATCATGTAAACAAGATGAAATGTAGAATTAAAAAAATATATTAAAAAACAAAAACTGGTGGGTGGATGCATTTATTATGCATTTATTATTATTATAAATTTATAAACTGCTTCAGTCAAAAGACTCTAAACAACACACAAGAGCAAAAGCAGAGCCAGTACAACAAGAACAAAAGTAAATCCCATGCAACAATAGAACAAACACAATAATAGAAAACAAAACCTAATATATCACAAGATAGGTAATTTATAGTTTAATAACGGTTCTGTCCCCTGGAGTTCAGCGACGCTGAAATACCAAAGATCTTCAGAACACCAAGTTTTTACAGGAGGGTTGGAGCTGCCAAGCTGCTCCAGAAGAGAAAGCCCCTACAGGGAATGTCCACTGTCAGTCCCCTTCTTGTTGCACCCTTCAAAAGGGACTTTCAGCAGGCATTCTCTGTATCTTTGGATTGGACAGGCAAAATCTATATGGGATAGGTGCTGAAAGATACCCAAACCCTGGGCGATATTTAGCTTTATAGGTCATCTATAAACTAGCATCTTGAATTAGACTCAGAAACATACTGATAACCAATGCAACTCTAGTAGCAGAAACATCAAGACTGCCCAGCAAGCATACAGCCTCCTGTACTTTGCACTGGTTAAAATCTCCAGGGCAGGATTTCAGGTGCAGCCCCACACAAACTAAATTTCAGCAAACCATATGACAGATGACAAGGACATGAAGGACCATCTTCAATGCTCCTGTTCCACCTAAGGCTGCAATTGGCACCTAGGCAGAGCTGGGCAAAAGTTCTCCTGGACCATAGTCTCCACACACTTTTCCTGCAGAAGCTGTGAGTCTAGGAGGAACCCCAACTTGCAAAGCAAAATTAAGTTGGAGCTTGCTCCTTCCCATCCAGATCCTGAGAGCTTCCAAACACAAGTGTCTATGTGTGCATCCTGAAGAACAAATTATAGTAAGTGAAAAAATAAGAAATCTGGCTTTGTAAACATTCTTAGCATGTTGTTGTGTTAAGTTTAATATGCAAGAAATTATTTGGTGCTATGTTGCTCTTTCTTTGTCTAAGTGGTCCCTAACTATTGAAAAGTGACTGCTCCCCTCTTGTCTCCTTATCCAACACACTCTGAGCCATCATTATCTCAACAGGCAATCCCAGTGATCAGAATGTTAAATAAACAGTTTAAAAAAGAGGTCTCACTTTTGATAGTGAGATTTGCTAGATTTGACAGACAGAATAAAGTGTCTGCAACCCACATATGGTACTTACTTGCAAATGTGTAGAACAGTTTTCTCACTTCTTACATTTTAATAAGAGGAATGTCTACCCAGGCACCTTTTAAGCAGATTGTGAAAATGTCACATTCAAAATGAAGAGTTGTTTGCACAATGGAATTCTTATTTAGGTTTACTACCTGATGACACTGGTGGCTTCTGCTAAGCCACTATACTGAAGACTAACATGTTCTGAAAGATCAGGGGTACACTTAAATATGTCCACAAATGATGTACTTATTAATATTTTCCTTGGTCTCTGACTTATCTCAGCAGAAAGTGGGGCTTAACTTAAATCTGTAGGTTCCTTTTTAACTTTTATCACTCACCCATGTGGAAAAAATGAGACACTTATGCTGTATAATTAGAGGACACCATTAAATTATTACATCCAGTCCCTTCGTTCTATCATTTTACAACTTATGTCTGGAGAACTGTAAAGCTGTATTGATATGCAGCATTGTGTTCTGGAAAGAGAAAGATCACCAAACACTCTTGAGCAGCAGTTCCAATAATCAAAAGTAATCTGTTTTAAAGCCTGATAATCACACATCCATTCCATTTGAGCATATTTCTCAGAGGTGATTTGAATATTAAGTGCAGAAATGCAGTTTTAAATACCCTGGGGCCATTTGATTTAATTCATTGTTGGCTATGGAGGAAGATTTATAGTTTTAGCCACATCTTCTGTCCCCTTGAAGATACACATATATACAGTTAGAAGCCAGCCTAAGGTAAAGTAAAAGGTGGCATTCACACAGCCAATTTATGCCCTATTCATGTTGTTGTAGGGAATAGCTACTCCTCTTTTGCCAATTCAGGAATTAAAAGAAATGTAAACTCGCCCTCAGAATTCACAAGTTACGAGGAACAGAATTAGCACGCCACGTTCACAAACAATGGGGAAAATTGGCTCAGACAAGTTTTAATATTTAAACAGATTAACAAGTTTACTTTGCCTACCTCCCAACTGCTGGAGTCTAGCAGATGGACTGGCACATTCCTTCTAAATATCCTAACCTAAGAATAAAAAAGAGAAAAGCATTTGCCAAAGACAGCTTCCTTAGAGAAATACCAGGATTTGGGTAGCAACTCCTGCTTTGTGCTGCCATGAACTCTGACAGCCAGGGCAGAGGTAATAGTATTTCTCAAGTGTATTGATTTTTTGTTCACATAAAATAATTAGGGGGAGACTGGCTAATTTAGAAGTTCAGATCTATATTACGTTTATTGGCATGGTAGTAGCTTTCAATTAAATGCACTATGAAAAACAATGGTATTTAGCAGGTAAATTCCCTTGAACCTAATTAATGAAGGCATTCCAGCATCTATTTTTAGTTAATCAAAGCAAATAAACAAAATAAAGCAAGGCTGTTTTCTCCCTGGCATTCTCTCCATCTTCTCCCATCTGGGCCACGTTTCTCCAGAACAAAATGAAACTTTTTTATTCACATGACCTTGGCTCAGAATTTTCACTTAAGGATAAAAGGTCATGTGAATAAAAAATGTAGGAAAAAATGCACGCATACAGAAAACCACTACGGCTGAACTGCTCTGAAACGAATCTTCCTTCATCCATCTTACTTTGTTTTTAAGCTGATGAACATATATCTTCTGCTTTAAGTATATTTTTTATTCTTTACTCAACACTTTTTTCTACAGAATGTACAGATTTAGGAATAGCTTTTTTTGCACATTTTTATTTGGCTTCCATAGAAAGAAGAGGTGATGGGAACCATATCTACTTTATTAACAGGATTATTTAATTGGTTCCCTTCTATACCATGTTAGGAAACTAAGAAGCATTTTGAATGCCTGTTCATCACCGCTGCTGGGAAGGACAGGAAAGTTGCATGGTTGAATGGGTTCTTAAAATGGACATGATGCAGTTTCCTACTATTTAAGCAGATGAGATTTTCCCCTGATCTTATATAGTTAGCATTCAGGTTTTCCACTTTTCCATCTATGCCAGTTAACCACTACAATATGTACCAAAATTCCTATACATATGAAGCTGAGGATTAGGGTTAGAAAAGTCTAGAAAATTCTCCATACAAATTTATTGTGAATTTCTGTGCAGTTTTTAAACATTTGTAATGAACAGATTATGAATGGGACAGAATAGTTTATGAATGAGGAAATAAAATGAATGGGAATGGGAATGGGAATGGGAATGGGAATGGGAATAATAATAATAATAATAATTATTATTATTATTATTATTATTATTTAAACTTGTATCCTGCCCGACTTCCAATGACTCTGGGCAGCTTACAACAATCAAAGAAATTACCAAAAAAATAAAAAATAAAAGATGGCAAGTGTGACAGGCCAGATGGAATGAAGTGAGGGGCCTCACTCCCTTGCCAAATGCCTGAGTAAAGAGCAACAGCAGATTGCAGGCTACCTGGATCTCAGGGGCAACCACATTCCAGAGGCAGGAATAATGTGTGATGTAGATATGATGTCACAGCTGAAATGTCTTGCATTGATAGCATATGTAACATTGATGGCCCACAACTAAAACTGAATACAGTATTCTGCAGTGTCACAAGAATAATTAAATCTTACTGGGTTGTAGTCAGGGGGTTGAATCAGACTTCCAGAGAGTTGACTTTTAAAGTAGTTAGTTAAAGCTTTTTACAATTTTGGACCAGAATAGCATTAAAGTAACATTGACACATTAATTTTAATGCTATAATATCTTGATAGCAAACATATAGATTAGATATATGTAATTTATTTTCTGAACTGAACTGTTTCAGTACAGGTGTACTCTATACAGACTAAAATATTCCAAGATAGCTTACAACCAAATGTTAGCACACAGAAGTAATTCTATCAAGTCAACAAGGGGTTCTAACAACTATTACCACAGATTCTAGTCCATCTTCAACCACGGAAGCTCCCAGGTTATAGAAGAATGCTAAGATAACCTTGAAGAAGGTTTGCAGGAACAAATAAGGGGAAATAAAAGACAGCTCAGCCTCAGCAAAGCAGAAGGTATGAGAAAGAAACTCAGAAGAACCAATCCTTGATAATCTTTCTCAGTCCAACCTATCTAATAGGATTCTTGTTGTGGGGAAAAATGGAACCAGATACCGCTATCCTCACAGCTTTAAGTTCTTGAATGAAAGGTGGAATATAAATCTAATTATTTTCTAAACCAGTGTCTCATATGTCTGCTGTAATATGAAGAAGAGCTACTCTATCCTTAGGGGCATTATTCTTGGTTTAGCATTTCATAATTATTTTTAAAGATAATACAGTATTTGAAAAGTGCTATATAGAAAAACCCATGTTAACATTATGGAAAGAACCCATGTAACTGTTTATACTTTTAAATAAAGAACAGCCTCTAAAATCACCATTAAACTATGTTCTCCACTGAAGTGCTTTAAAGTTGAAAATTATCATATATTAATTTAATGCATAAACAATTTAAGAAAGGATTTTCAGCATATGAGGATGAGTGACATTCTAGAAATGAATTCTGGGAACTGTAGTCCCAGCACACATGGAGATTGTTAGATTGTTAAAACCTTCTAAGTATGCATATGAACATTTCCAAGAGTTGGAATCTGATCTGAGTGTTA